CAACATATCTGTTGTAGACCAGAGTTCCACCGTCTATCCCTGGAAGCAATTGATGGTCAACATGTGTAGGTGGCACCGAATCCGGTTGTCAGATCGAACGCAACTTCAGATCCAGTTGAAGCTGCCGAGAAGATCAGGTATGGTTCCTCGCTCTCGCGTTGTCTGTCGACTGGCGCGGTTGGCTCATGGGTGCTTTCTTGTAGTACCGAATATGTTGTGATGGCTGGCGCAGGAGGTGCACCAAAGGGGAGCGTCGAGGACGTCACTCAAAAGAAGAGAAAGACAGTGTAATACTTTGTTTATGTGAACACATGACGTTAGGCGGTCACATGAGAGTTTGTCTGGCCCTTGTACACAGTGGCCGGCCTTCGAGCCACGCTCAGTCCCCGTTAGCCCTGTCGTCTTCGGAATACATGTATTCAACATCACTCATGCCTTCTTCCATCCTATGAGAAGCCTCGGGACGCCAGAAGCGAATTAATTCGAATCGCATTTTGCCCTTATTTACCGACATGCCAGGCTGATATGCGATTTTAACTTCCCTAGACTTCCCATTTGGCATGAGTGACCAATCACTTTCTGGCAGAAGTAACATAAATGAAACACTAAATTGTCAGAGGGTCAATCTACGTTGAAAGAGTAAGGCAGCCATCAAATTACTTGATTTTCATACAGGTGCTCACATAGACATAAACCAGAGCTGGTTCAGTAACGGACCAGTGTTGTTAAAACTTTGATAAGCTCATCCCAAAGATTTAACAGTAAAGGTATTTATAAATTATTGCAACAATATATTTTCAAAGATTTTGGCATCAAATACAAGGTCGAATTTTCTTGCAGAATCTTGCTTAATGTGTTTTAATCGACTGATTCTTGTGTGTTTTCTTTAATGGTCATATCTTCTGATTACTTCTAGTTCATGAAATGGCCTCATTTACCAACAAAAGGAATATGCTGTTTGAGCGGCGGAAGTATATTTCATCACTATCGGCCAAGGAAAAGGTGCCTAGAGTCATGCCCTACATTCCCTGTCAGGTAAGTTATGCGTTTAACTTTTGCCTGCACCTTCTTACCAACATTGACTCCCACGTCCTAATCCACGTTTCAACATAATTTGCTAAAATTATGGTGTAGCCGACTGGATAGAGCCTTGGCTAGGTGTTAAGGTGCGTAACAATCCTAGTGGTTATTGCGTCTGTGTAATATTGTTCGTATTGGTTTTATGATTATTGTCCTTGCGTCTCTCATACTTTAGTATAGTTCGTCTTGTGTATTAGTCATAAAATGCAATGTGTCATTTTGATGTCAATTTGTGCACTCCTCTGTCTTTACAATAGCATAAGTCTGGCTTAAATAACATTCTGCATTGTCAGATCTGGTTAGTTTTGGTTTAGTAGCCTTTAGTTTGGGCTACTTTTGATTTCTTTACTTTTAAAAATATTAGCACTTGGATTGTAAGTGTGCAAGCTGGAAACCCTGTGACAACGCTGACGATGCTTATCGTTGTGCACTCTGCGGTCACCACCACTGCAGTGGCAGCAGTTCTGAGTTTTCCAACTGGATTGAGGATCTTGCGGTGCAGATGGTTGAGGATCTGGAAACACTCTTTCTGCTTTGTTTCAATGAGGAAGATCTGGAGACTCGTCAGTTGTACTTCTGTATGCTCAAACGCCTGAGAAAGGCTTTAGCCAATAGGACGCATCCCCAGGTGGATGACCTACCTCCCTTTGAACGTCCTAGTATTTCTACAGCAGTGCGTAATCTCATTATCCGAAAACTATCTATCACTCCTAGCGATGCCTTCATCTACATAGATGCCGGTCGCTTAGTTCTCACCTACCTCAACGGCCACCGATTGCAGGTGCCAAAGCATCGTAAGCAGAAGAATGAGAATCTCACCGGATATAAGCTGATTTACATGCGGTGGATGTGCCATTGTTACATTCCTCTCTTTTGTACTACATTTCCATACTTTGAACCCACTGCCGCCTTCGGTAAAAACTTCTTTCTCGCCCTCCTTCCAGAACTAAAGTCGGGTCTATTAGAGAAAGTACGCGAGGAGAAGGCTAAACTGCAGTCGGAGCTCTCTACCTTTATTTCAGAGTTAGAGTGTGAGGCACGTCTCCCGAATTCACCTATTTGGGACCCATTTTTCAGACCGTTTTCAGCCTCTGGGAAGCTAGAAGAATCGGGAATCCTTTCTAACCCCACTGCTGTCTTTGTTGACTGCAAAGTGGCCAATGCAGATGCGGGTGAGGAAGGGGAAGATGAAGCGTCTCAGGACGTCACGTTGAAAGTGGAAAAAGAGCCTATGGAGGTGGAAGATTGCCTTCCTGCCACTCCAAAACGCAGATCTAGTTTGAGAATAAAAAACCAGGCTTTGGTTGAAAACTCCCTCTATCCAACGAGAAGCGCTACAAAAATGCTTAACACATCTCTGTTTGGTCTTCGCCGACCCATCGAGTGCGACTCTACTGCGGCTAGTGGAACATCCACTCCTTTGGCCAAACGAATGCGTTGTCAGTCTTCCCCCTCATTCCCTGTCGCAGGAGAAATAAATCCACGAGAGTTGGAAGAGGTGGTAAAGGAGCTGGAAGCAGAGCAAAGTCTTGGGCGGAATCTACTCCCCTCTCCAACTGTACGGGGTTGCTACCCTTCCTTTTACCTCATTTCTTATTTTTCCCTACTTATCACTTTGTCTTGCTGCTTCGGATGCAGTTACGCTCGTTCCTGGCGACTCGCGACGCAGCCGCGCGAAGGGAAGAATCTGCTGGTACCATTGAGTTCCACGTAGTGAGCAATAGTCTAAGTCAACAGCAGGAGCCCTCCACGTACATTTGGCTTCTGGAACTTCTCAATGTCTTTGCCATTCAACTACCTCGCATGCCTAAGGAGTACATAACCCGTCTCGTCTTTGATCCGTACGTTGGATTCTATATTGATTCCTCTAATTCTTGGTTTTTTCTGAACCTGTCCTAAGGCTCTATTGTTCATGAGTAAAGAGCTGTGAATTGCAGTATGGTTCGAGTTGTGTACCATCAGGGTTTTGACAGTTTCTTGGAAGGCTTGAAGGGCTCACGCATTGGAGTAAATGCATATAAAACGCGTATCGGTTTTCCAGTTTCCTTTTCACCGTTTCTCTCAATGTTCCTCATGATCATTTTCTTACTTGGATCATCTAGACCTTTAATTTGAAGATTGAAACAAATGTCATACGTCGGAAGGTATTTGGTTGTAGCAACAGTTTTGGGTAGAATTTCATTGCGACATATCTTGTCATTTGCGGCTTTTTGTATATCAGTAACTTTCTTAAAGAATAAAGAATGCCAATTTAGTGGAATTTACGGAGTAATTAGTATGCCATTTTTCCATCTATCCCTTCTTCTATACAACCCGATACGACTTTAGATTGATGCTCACACCAAGACTGAACGAATTCAACATCCCTTTTTTGTGACTTCGAGCAGGCTCAATTGCCTAAGCTAAATACATTCTATGCCACTGCTATACGTCTCGCCCGGTGAAGAACTTTTGTTATTTTCGCCAACACTACCGCGCGACTTTACCGCAAACTGGCAGAAGGGCTAAGACTAGGAACAGCGCATTAATTTATTATTGGGAGACCAAAAAATATTTTTATAAGTGGAATGTCTAATGCTTGTTTCTTAGTTCCATCAACCATCACATTTCGCTGACTGCCCTCAAAACATTTCTTGCAGAAAGCACAAAAATCAAGTTTTGTTGAAGGTTTCGGAGAATGGGGACCGTCATGCAATTGGTGGAATTACCTTCCGAATGTTCCCTTCCCAGGGCTTCTCCGAGATTGTCTTTTGTGCCGTTATATTCAACGAACAGGTGAAGGTGAGCTTGTGACATCGTTTTGTATCCCCTTATGACAATCGTTTTTTTTGTATTATTTTATTACTACTTTCGTAAAAAGGGTTATGGAACGCAGATGATGAACCACTTGAAAGACTACCATACGCAGCACGGAGTATACCACTTCCTCACCTATGCAGATGCCTTCGCAACAGGCTACTTTCGAAAGCAGGGTTTCTCGCGGGAAATTCGCCTTCCTCGCCAAGCTTATCAGGGCTACATTAAAGAATACGAGGGTGCCACCCTCATGGGCTGTGAGCTCTATCCAAATGTGGTATACAAAGAGTTCTCTGAGGTCATTAGCCGTCAGCGTGAGGTCAGTTTGTCCTTCTATCTTTGGCGCCAGGAATCGCTTTTGTTGTTGTTTCTTAAGAAAGGTAGTTTTTCGACTACACGACTGCACTGTCCTGAGAATAAGGTGAATGCATTTGAATCACAAGGTTGTGTTTGGATGTATTCAATTGCGTTATTAACTTCTCATTCTTTATTTCTATTGCCAACCCCTTTATAATGCTATTTTTTAAATAGGCAACGAATCCTAGGTAGCAAAATCATGACATGGTCCGCGAAATTGTAGGGTTACGATCCAAAAACTTGGACGTCACCATCGCCAATCCTTACTTTGGGAGCTGAGCAAAAGTTTCTTAGATTTCTCCCAATCGTTTTAGATAATTTCCCGAATTATCGATCGACGAAAACGTGCTTTAGAAACAGTCTACCCGGGCATTCCAAATTCCCAATTCCGACTAGGTCCCATACCCCTCTCCTCCATTCCTGGCCTCATTGAGGCCGGTTGGAGACCTGATTCAATCGATGAAGGCAGTACTGACAAGACTGCAACTGCAACGGAGGCTGAGACTACGCCCGCTGTTTGCGTAGATGCTCCTGCAACGACTCCGGAAGAAGCACCGGCAATGGAGGCAGCAATGGCTTTGGGGGAGGCTGCTGGTGCCAGCGAGCCTCTGATCATTCAGATAACCCCTCAGTCCCCCTCCATCGAGGGAGAAGAGAGTGCTCTAACCTCTCAGTTACCTCCACCACCACCACCACCGCCACCACCACCTGTACACGTCAAATCATCAAGCTCTCGGCGGACGAGGTTCTCTGCGTCTAACTCCCGTGGTGGCAATGGTAGTGCTGACGATGATACCATTGCCAGACGCACAAGAGCTAGTTCTGGGTAGATGAAATTACGTTTTGTCCTTTAAGTTAGCTGGAGGTATGATGAGTTTTGGTTTCGAAAGTAAAATTCAGGTTACTCTTAAGTGTCCTTTTGTTGTAATTGCACGTATCTGCCTTTGGATCGACCTATATTTCGCTATATTTTCACATATTGTCTTTTATGGTCATTATTTATAAGCATTACTTTTATCATGATTGAACTTGTCATTGATAGCACAGAATGGGTTGGCCAATAGTTCATGTTTGTTTTTTATCCACTCTTCTGCGACAAAACCTCAGGTGTCAAAAATGTGGTTATTTTCGCC